GAGCCTGCTTGTATCTTCAGCCATCTCTCCCCCTTCCTCCTTTTATATGTTGTGCTTCTGCCAGACTCAAATTCTTATGGCCCCAGAATAGATCAGGTTCATCAGTCTGATGAAAACAATGGATTCTTTCCACAAAAAAATATATATGTGCTCCTGTATGCTCATTATTTTGCATACAGTTCAGGGTAGAGGAATCCTTGCTTAAGAACCTTTTAAATTGAGTCTCCTTTTCTAGCATTTAACACACTTTGAAATTGCTGGTTTACTCATCTTTCTACTAGTTTGAGTTCCATGAGGGCTGGGAACATGACTTGTTCACCATTGTCTCCTTGGGCCTTGCCCATAGGGACTGTTTGATACTTGCTTATTGAGTGAATGAACAAACAAATATCTGCCCTTGCTAGGTAGATCATGATCTATCTGGAAGAACAGGTTATGATGTTGACAGAGGACAAAAAATGTACAGCTAATGTTTTCTTTCTTTTTCTTTTTAAAATTCAAGTATAGTTGCTGTTACAACATTACGTAAGCTATAGGTGTACAGTAAAATTCACAATTTTTAAAGCTTATACTCCATTTATGGTTATAATAAAATATTGACTATATTCCCTGTGTTGTAAAGTATATCCTTGTAGCTTATTTTATTAATTTATTTAAAAAGTATTTATTTATTCTTTTTGACTGGGCTGGGTCTTCATTGCTGCACGGGGGCTTTCTCTAGTTGCAGAGCGTGGGGCCTGCTCTCTAGCCATGTGTAGGCTTCTCATTGTGTGGCTTCTCTTGTTGCGGAGCGCAGACTCTAGGCGCATAGGCTTCAGTATCTGTGGCACGTGGACTCAGTAGCTGTGGCTCGTGGGCTCCAGCGCACAGGCTCAGTAGTTGCGGCACGCAGTAGTTTTGCTCTGCGGAGTGTGGGATTCTCCTGGGCCAGGAATCAAACTGGTGTTACCTGCCCTGCAAGGCAAACTCTCAACCACTGGACTACCAGGGAAGCCCTGTAGCTTATTTTATACCTAATAGTTTGTACCTCTTCATCCCCTCCCCTCTTCCTTCTCTGCTAGTAACCACTAATTTGTTCTTTACATCTGTGAGTCTGATTCTTTTTTGATATTCACTAATTTGTTGTATTTTTTAGATTTCACATATGTGATATGATACAGAATTTGTCTTCCTCTGTCTGACTTTTTTCACTTTAGCATAATACTCTCCAAGTCCATCCATGTTGCTGCAAATAACAAAATTTCATTCTTTTTAATGGCTAAGTAAGTATTCCATCATATATACAGACCACGTTTTCTTTATACTTACCTGTTGATTGATGCTTTGGTTGCTTCCATATCTTGGCAGTTATAAATGATGTTTCTGTGAACATTGGTATGCATGTATCTTTTTATATTATTGTTTTTATTTTTTGGGGGGGGGGATAGGATATATAGCCAGGAGTGGAATTCCTAGGTCATATGGTAGTTCTATTTTTAGTTTTTTGAGAAACTTCCGTACTGTTTTCCACAGTGGCTGTATCAATTTACATTCCTACAAATAGTGGTGGGAGGGTTCCCTTTTCTCCACATCCTCACCAGCTTTTGTTATTTGTGTTCTTTTTGATGATAACTGTTCTGACAGGTGTGAGATAATCTCTCATTGTGGTTTTGATTTGCATGTCACAGATGATTAGTCGTGTCGAACATCCTTTCATGTACCTGTTGGCCATCTGCATTTCTTCTTTTCTGAAAGTTCAGAGTCTGAGGTGGCTGGGCTGGGCCTCTTGGGAAAAATCAGCAGAAGAGGGTTCTTAGGTTAACCTTGAAAATAGAGGGACTTACAGGGCTTATGTTCTATCCTCTAGAAATATTTTGTCAAAGTAGCAGAGGTGAGTGAAAGAGCAAGAATGAAGAAGCCTTTGAAGATTTCTCCTTCTTCAGAATTAACTTTAGTCTGTGGACTTATGAGATGTCAAGAGAAAACCTCTCTTCTTTCTTTCTTTCTCTGCCCCAATACGTATTTAAGTGCTTGTTATATGTCAAATGGGCTTCCCTCGTGGCTCAGACAGTGAAGAATCTGCCTGCAATGCAGGAGACCTTGGTTCGATCACTGGGTTGGGAATATCCCCTGGAGAGGGGAATAGCTACCTGCTCCAGTATTCTTGCCTGGAGATTCCCATGGACAGAGGAGCCTGGCAGGCTACAGTTCATGGGGTTGCAAAGATTTGGACAGGACTGAGCGACTAACACTTTTACTCTTCACTTTAGGAATGCTTTTGTCAAGGTCATTAGTTAGGGTCAGGTTTAAATTATAGAGGGACTTATTAAAAATGGCATGAGGTCTAAAGTTAGGCCAAAGGTTGAACCCAGCCCTACCCTCTTACTAGCTGTGTGCAAATGCCTCTTGATATGCCAATTCTATAATTTATAAATTGGAAGCATTATCTCATACCTCCTGGAGTTGTTACAAGGACTAAATGAAATAATGTGTATAAACCCTGAGGGCCTGGCATGTAGTAGCAACTATTATTACTACCACGTTCAGGGTTTGTTTAAGCTGACATCTTTGTTTGATGCAGTAATTTCTACTGGTTCACAAAAATATTAAATTGGATTTTACAAGTCCTTATGATTTATATTAATATAAGTCTCCAATTTCCTATAAAGGAAATTTATCAGAAAAAACATGGTCTTTGAGGCCCTATATTTTTTTTTCTCCAATTTTTCCTTGCTTGTTGTAATTTTAAGTACTTAGTGCAGAAATTTTTGATTCATATAAAGAAGCAAGGAAAAAAAAAATCCCATCATCTAGAAAACTGCATCTTAACATTTTCTGGGTATTCAAGACTGATGAAAATGATTGTTCATCTCATCAGAAAGTCAAACTTTTGCCCATATGTACAAATACTTTCATACAATTTCAGAAGATTCCACTTGTTTACCCCCAAGATACAAAACCCTAACCTGACTCCCAAGCTCTACTTCCATAGAGAGCAAGCAATCAGGCCAGGCTTTCTCTGATTTCATACTCACTAAAGACTCCTGAGTCTCTTGGTTCTTGTAGTAAGGTTGCTTTTCTTTTTTTTTTTTTCAGCCTTTTTTCTAAGGTCCAAGTTCTTAAACTGAGAATTGGCTATCTTTGATGATCTTTTGCAGATAATTACCAACTGGACCTTTGCTAGTGAACATCTTCATGGCTGTTTGGAGAGAGGAATTTAACTTTTGATTTCCTTATGTGTGTGTTCTTACTTGTCATGGAGTATATTCAAGAGAGAGATTGTGAAAGCTTGTTTTCTGGGTAGAGGAGAAACTCACCATCTTTTCCTGTTTCCTCTTTGCATCTTTGTCCTGTCTCAGGGTTCTTTGTGCTGAGGGCATTTTGCTGGCTTCTACCAGCAATCAGAGAGAAGAGAATAGACTGGGGATCACTGGGCTGCCTGATCAGGGGAGCCAGCAGGGTTTGGAATAGGTCTCCACACCCTCATCTTTCCTCCCTCGCTGGCGTCATTCATATCTAGAGCTGTGTCAGGATGGGAACTGTGGATTGGTGGAGGAATCACACATAGTCCATGCAGCTTGGAGGTGGGCGTCTGCAGCCCACGTGCTGTACTGTACTGTATTTTCTTGGCTCCAGTGCACAGATTCCACAGACAGAAAACAACCGCCCAGGCTCTGTTTTCACGCTCATGTAAGGACTTCTGAAGCCCCGTTTCTTGCAGTCACGTCGCCCTGCATCTCAGTCTACAAGGACACATCTTGCTTGTCTTTTCTTCCTGAAACCAGCAACGTTTGTTGAATGAGCCTGGCTCCAGACAGCCGTGTGAGCTGTATAGAGAGAGCAGGCTGTGGTCAGGGGCCTCAGGACTGTGCAGTCGTGCCTTGCTGCCCTAGTTCACAGGCCTGTGTTGTCTCTTTCTTGGATGGTTGTCAGGGCCTCCCATCTGTTCTCCTTGCCACTGGTCCAGCCTCCACCAATGCGTCCAAAATTTCATTCAAAGACACCCATCTGTTGATGTCATTCCGTCATTTAAAACCGTTCAGTGGTGCTACTCTTAGGATAAAGTCCCAACTCATTCGCATGGTTTACTGGGCTCTGCAGGTCCTGGCTCCTAGCTGTCTCTCCAGCCTCCTTCCTCTCACTGTCACTCCACATACCAGCCATGCTACCCTCTCACTGTTCCCCACATTTATCCTTTTGGCACTTTTCTGTTATTGCACGGAAGCTGCATCCAGCTCATCTTTCCTCACCTTTGCTGCATGTGGAATAGCCAACTCAAATGTGACCTCCTATTAGGAGGCCTTCCAGAATTCCACAAATAGGGTGTGTTGCTCTATCTTCTGCATTCTTTGGATTTAGCATACCACAGTGATTACTAGTGTGGACTCTAGAGTCAGACTCCCGGCTTTCAAGTCTTGCCTGGCCCCTTCCCACATGTGTGACTGTGGGCAAAATGAATTACTTTTGCTCCTGTGCCTCAGTTTCTTCATCTGTAATATGGGGATGTTAAGAATAATACTCTTAAGTCATTGGTTAAAAGAGGCAACCCAGTGCTTGGCCATAGTTAGCACTCAAAAATTGGTTTTCTAAAAAGTTGTTCCACTGGTACTTTGCATATCTCTCATCATCTCATGTAGTTTAATATATCTGCCCTACTAGACCAAGTGCTCCTTGAGGACAGGTTCATATCTTGTTCACTTTCTCTCGCCCCCTGTGTACAAGTTTGCAGGAACTTGGTTGAATGCTTTCTCATGTATAGATTTGCCTTCAAAATGAAAAGGGGCAATGGACAGAGTTAGGGAATGCTTGAGGTTGGGCTTGTGGATGATCCCAGACCCAAAGTTGATGTGACCTTGATGTCCGCTAGTGTGTCCTTATCTGTGGCTGAGTGTTCCTTTTCCTGGCTCCAGGAGCACAGATAGTGCTTTTGTTTTGCCAAGACAGGTTAGGAGAGCATGTGAAAGTTAAGCACATCCTAGGCACCAAGTTCATGTTCATTTTGTTTTTGTTTTGAACTGTAGGTGACATGTCTGAGAGTAAAGCCAAGAAGATAGAAATCAAGGATGTGGATGGGCAGACCCTGAGTAAGCTGATTGACTATATCTATACGGCTGAGATTGAGGTGACTGAAGAGAACGTCCAGGTAAACTCAGCTCTAGATAATAGCTCAGTGTATCATATACTCAGCGCCCCACCCCCTACCCCCATTTACATCTTCATTTTGTTTAACCCTCACAACAATTCAGTTGGTAACTGGAGAGGAAACTGAAGCTTCAAAGAGAGTGGGTGACTTGTCCCGAGATACGTGGCCAGGGCGAATGACCGTCATATCCCGCCTGCCTGACCATGGGACCCATGTTTTTAACCACTAGGCCATAATCCCTCAGAATGAGCTTGAGCCCCAGAGCAGAAAGTCTTTAACTCATGCTGGTTCAAACTCTTGGAGCCTGGGTGACCCCTCTTCTCCCCAGTCATCATCTCATCTCAGGGATTTTGAGTATTGGCTTGTGAGGCTGTTCAAAGTTTTTCTTGTGTCAGTGTTAGTCAGTGAAATGCCTCTGAGGCTGTGGAGGTGCCAAGCACCAGCCTTGAGTGTCAGCAGGGGTGTGTGGCTGTGAGGTGGGTTGTCTGTGCCTCTGCCTCGTTTTGCCGCCCCGGTCTCTTCCTCAGCCATCTGGAGCCTAGAAAAGAGGAATCAGCAAAGACACTGCTTCACCCAAAGGTGTGCATCCTCACTGTGGGGTGTGAGACATCAGTGTCATGGCTCCAAAGGTGGGATGGTTGAGGGTGTGGCCCACGCTGGAAGCCTGTGAACCACCAGGCCAAATGCAGGCACAACATGTGCTATTTTTTATCATTAGGCATTTTGCTATTAAAGTAATGGAAATTATATGGGATATGAAAGGTTTTTCTTCCTTTTTTTGTTTTTTTAAAGCAAAATTCTACATTATTTATTGTGAGAGAGATATATTAAACTCTATGAGATGATGAGAGATATGCAAAGTACCACGACATATTTCTCTTAATCAGAACACCATGCCCTTTTTAAGATTGAGGTGTTTGGGAGGCCACATTGGTAATTGTGTGTTCATTCCATCTGGCCAGAATGTTTGAGGGCCTCTCATATGTCAGACACTTCACTGGGCACTGTGTTTGTACCAGTGAGCAGAGGTGATTCCATCGTCTCCTTTCATAGAATTTGTGTTCTAGGGTGAAGACAGACACTCATCTAATAGGCACACATCTAATGTTTATGTATAAATTGTGGTAAGTCCTTTGAAGGAGAGGGACAATTTGAATGAAGTGGGGAATCTAGGACGGGCTCTTTCAGGAGGTAAGATTTCAGCTGAGGACTGAAGGATGGGTAGAAGTTAGTTGCGTGTGATAAAGGGTACCCTGGTAGGGTGTTAGGGTACAGGCAAACCGAGGGTCTGAGGCACCCTGCATTCGGGCCTGTAGAGCCTGCCTCAGGGTATAGCCTGTTTTTGTCTCTGGCTCTTAGACAGACTTTTGGGTGGTATAGTTTCTACAGTGATCTAGTCTAATCCTTCCTCGCCCTTTAAAACTGAAATTTCTTTTATGCACAGTAAAATGCATAGCCACTCCATTATTTCTGGTCTTTCCCATCCAGAGTGGAGTGGGCGATGCCATGGTTACATACTAGGTCAAGCAGCAGAATTTAAGCAGCTGAATAACTTTTGAGCAGTAACAGCAAGTGCAAAGTAATTTAGTATAAAATATGTATAGGGCGTGTGTGGAAAAAAAATTTTTTAAAATGGGTGATAGTTATATGAAATCACCATGGTTTTAAATTCATTTAGGTGCTTTTGAGACTGATATAAATATTGAGATTTACAAAATGCAGATTATATCCTTTGCAACTTTAATGAAAAATGCTAGATGTCAACCTAAAAAATGTGGAGGGGGTAAATAATTTTTTTAAAATTTTGCATTAGAGATACTATAAACATGAAAGTGATAGAGGAATGTGCAGAAAAGAGTTAACTAGCAAGCCTGCTTGCTATCTTCAGAAAGGCTTTCTTACAAGATCAGTCTTCATCCGGAGTCTGGTAACTTGGATTTTCAGAGAGTTCCCACTCCTCTAGTGATAATGGTAGTAGCTTGCACTGCTTAAACTGTTTGTACAAGCAATATGGTTTATGCCTATCACCTGCTATCCTTATGAGAGTTTGGAATTTCAGTCCATGCTAGGCAGAAGGTGCCTGTGTAACTGACACCTAACACACGTCTTGGCCTCTGAGAGTCAGGCTAGCTTTCCTAGTTGGTAATGTTTTGCCTGTGTTGTCACAGTTCGTTGCTGGAGGGGTTAAGTGTGTTCTCTGTGACTCCATTTGTAGAGGACTCCTGGAAGCTTGTGGCTAGTGTTCTCCAAAATTTGCCCCATGTACCTCTTCCCTTTGCTGATTTTGCTTTGTATCCTTTCAAGGTAATAAATCTTAGCTGTACTCATAGTGAGGAAAACTAGAGCTTCTCTGACACCCCCACTAACATTCTGCCTCAAGGGTCAGTTTTCTCACTTGTAAAACAGGAATCATAATAGTGCCCTTTCTGTTGGGTGATCATGAGTTAGGCTGTCTGCCTTTAAATAATCCTGGCTCCACCGTTTCCTAGCTGTGAGACTTCAAGCTAGTTACTTAACCTCTCTGTGCCTCAGTGTTCTTGTCTGTCTCATGGGCATAATAATAGTGCTTAACCTCATAGGGTTGGCATGAGCATTTAATGAATTACTACAGGTAAAGCACTTGGAGGAGTGTGCCCCTGTGTCAGCAGACAGGGTGGACACAGAGAGTCCTGTGAACACAGAAGCGTTTTCACCAAGGAGCACATGTCTGAAGGTGGAGACAGGTGGCCAGGCAAATGGGTGCCCTCCATTGTGGTAGGGGCCAGAGTGGAGGTACCCAGGAAGCAGAGAGTGTTCACCACCACCTTGATGAGGGTGGTCAGGGCAGACCTTACTGAGGATGCATGGTGTGTGCTGGGTGTTGAAGGAAAGTCTTGGAGGTCAGGCCTGCCTCCTCTTCCACCTGTCTGTGACCCCGCTGGCCTGTGAGCCGCTGGAGGGGCCTGCTGCATTCATTATTATCTGGGAGTGAGGAGGGGGCTGCGTGTGCAGAGATTACCTTGGGAAGCACAATGTGGAGTAAAACTCTGCAGTTTGGAATCAATCATATATGTGAACTATTTTCCTTTTTTTCCTTAACTTTATGGTTTGATCAGGAATGACCTTGGGAGAAAACCAAAACTGGTTAAGACAAAGTTTTAGATCAAAATGTGGCTGCCTCCTCCTGCTGTGATGTATCTATCTGCTGAGAGTTGCTCACAAACTATCTGTGAAGACTATGTGTGAGGATTCATTGCACTGAGGAGGTGTACGCGGAGTTTCCTGGGAAGACAAGGGTTAGAGACTTGGGGCTTGGTTAAATGGCTGGGAGATTATGCCCTGCTTCTCCTTCTAGCCACACATACCTTGGAGAGACTGAACTGCCCTTCTACAGTGGAGGCAACAATTCGTAACTGATTCTTATTGATACTCACTGTAAGCAAAGCACGTGTTGATCACTTCACATGCATTATCTTGTTTAATTATTGTAACCACTACTGGAAGGTTCTACTATGATTCTCCTCTTACAGTTGAAGGAACTGATGCTGCAAGGGGTTAAGTGGGCATTACCCAAGATCACACAGGTGGTTAGTGGTGAAGTTGGGGTTTGAATTCAGTTCTAACTTGCTCTGCCCAGTTGATGTGGTCAACTCGAATTTCTTGTGAAATGGATGATCAGAATCTTGACTTCAACTTGTATTAATGAATAATAAAAACCAGTGTAACTAAGGACTCCCTGTGCACCAAACACTGTGTTAGTTGCTTTAAATGTATTATTTCATTTGAGTCCAATGACAAGCCTTTAAGGCGGTACTATTACTATCTTCATTTTACTGTTGAGGAGTCAGAGGCAGAGAGAGGTTAAGTAATTTGCCTTTAGTCACATGGCTGGTGAGTGGAGAAGTCAAAATTCTAAGTGACACTATACTTCCATTAAATTTTTTTTTCTAAATATTCTAAGTGACACATTTAATCACAGGGTAGTCCTGCTAACTCCTGTACACCCCCCGCCCCCTTCTTCTTTCTCTTCAGTAAATTTTTGTTTAGCACTGTTTCTGTGCCAGGACTCAGGCCTGGTGCTGGCAGAGGCAGGACTTGCTGTGTGTGGGGGGCAGGGGCAGCCTTGTCACCTGGGCCTCTGACTGGCACCCTCCCTCCGTGCGTGGCCCTGCTTCTCTGAAATTCCAGGAGTAGGTGCTTTCTGAGGCAGGGCATTTCCTTTTGTTTTTGTTAAAGGAAACAAACTCTGTGACGGGATATCCTCTGCTGGGTTTTCATGTTATCCGAGGGAGAGAAAAAACAACAACAGGGCCTGTGCGTGAAAAATGGAGGGGAAGCCATTTGCAAGCTGGAGGGGAACCTGTAAACTCTTTGCCGAGGGTCATTCCAGGGCCTGTTTTCCCAGAACCAAAATGCTGAGACGGCGAGAGGCAAGCTGAAAGCTTTTAACCTAGGGTCATTTTCCCTTCCTGCTGTGGTTCCAGCCAACTGCTCCTTTTCAGTCTCAGCCTCCTTCCAGGGGCCAAGCCACACAGCCTTAGTAGTTCCACCAGGACAGTCTTGCTTCCAAGTTGAGGACCTGTGCTTGGCCTCTCGTTCCTAATCTTATTACTGCTACTGCTTGAGGGAGCCGAGCTGCAGGCAAGATAAGAGGAGAGTACGTTGTTTTCCAGCCTTGGCTGTAGGAGAGGGAAGTGAAGACCACCTCCTGGATGTTTTTCGCTCTTTCGTAGCCTCTGAGGATCTGTGTTGCCTCTCTTTGTGTGCAGCCCCCAGAGCCCCACTGGATCAGGCCCCTATTTATCCCTGAGACTCTGCAATTGAGCAGTGATACAGCCTCCAAACTTTCCCCCTCAGCATCCTGACTCCCTTGGCTCTTCTTCACGCCTTCCTGTGTGAAGCAAGCAGTGGGAAGAAAAGAGCCTTTGACTCATAGCAGATCACAGCATAAGATCAAAGAGAGGGAAGGGGCAATTAGAGAAAGCACCAGCTCCGCTCATTTTGGGATGTCAGCTTGGGAACACTTTAGGGCAGGAGTGGACCCAAGCAGGATGGGGGAAGGTCTGAAGTTTTTGTCTGCCACGTGGGTTTTGTGAACAGTGAGGAAGCTGAAAGCTGTGTGGGTAGCTGTATCCAGGGAGGTTTTAAAAACTGAAAGTATAATCTAAGGAGTGTGTTCAGGAAGTATTTATTATTTCATTACTTTGGGTAGTTGTCATGAGGTTGAAAATTTTAGCACCAAACTGTGCAACTGACTTTGTGGTAAAGAAGAGGGCAAGGGAGAGGGTGTGTGTGTCTGTCCCTGGCACGACAGCATTTTGGCTTGGCCGGGATGCAATCTGGGGGATGGGGATTGGACTCTGAGAAATTCCTTCTCCGTGGCACTAGGGGGCTGCTATCCATTGCATCCGCTAATCACATCTGACCCTTGGGGGCTCCTACACCCGAGTAGGGTGTGTGCTGGACAGCATTGGCTTACTCCTCCCCACCAGGGCTTCTCAGTCTACCTGGATACAACTTCCTTGTTCCCGGGGTGAACAACTGTCCCAGTTTGTCCAGAACTGAGGGCTCTCCTAGGACACAGGACTTTGAGTGCTAGAACTGGCAAGGTCTCAGCAAACCGGGATGGTCGGTCAACTCGTGGCCCGGCTTTCGGGTTTGTAGCTGGTGCTGGTTTAGGGCACGTGTTATGGAGGTCATTTGGGGAGTTTGGAACACAGCTTTCCTTTCCTGGTATGTATTCAGCAAGAATGGTTAATGGTTCTCCACTTTACTAGCAGGCCGAAACTAATCTGGTCCTGGAATCTGTTTGGCTAGGCTGAGCAAGCGCACAGGTTAATTGAGTTCCCCAGTTTATAGCTGCTTTGTGGGAATGGAGGTTAGGTGGTCAGATTTGGAGCCTGACTGTGTTCACTTACCGTCTCAAACTCTCCAGCGGGTGATCTTATCTTTTTCCTTCTCTGGAATGAATCAGTGGTTCAGAAATTACCAAGAATGTGATGGTAATATACAGTTGTCTTGCTGGTAGAAGAGAGAGGGGACAGGAAGCAGAAAGGGGAGAGGAAGGAGAGAGATGTTTTCTAGAACTCAGCTGTCATGAGGGAGAGGTATAATCTTGCAGGCAGTATGAACTTCCCTTTGAGAGCAGGTACTTAGCTCTGGAGCAGGACCGCTGATACTAGAGGCTCTTGGTGGCGTCTCTGTGTGGGCAGGAATGAGGAAGGGGGCCAACCACCCCAATTTTTGCACTGAAAGTCCTGTGTCCTGGGAAGTCTTTCGATCCTGGGCAAACCTGAATGGCTGGTTACTCTAGTGATGAGACAAGGCCCAAGAATGGGGCAGTGGGGCAGTTTTTAGCCTTAGTCCATGGTGGTGAAGAGAACTAGAGATGAGGTTCAGAGCTGTTTTGGGAGGCAGTTAGTCTCTAAAATTTAAATCACTCAAAAAAAAAAAAAAAGACTCTTATAGTGCTCTTAGTCAAGAAATCAAATGCATCTGCAGCCCGTGTGTGTCTTCCTGGGCAAGCCCGCGTGGATGCAAACAGCTGGGGTCTGGCTGGCCCAGACACTCTCCCTGAGAGCCAGGGGAGCAGCTGAGAGCAAGGACTCAGAACATGGGGCTGTTTTTGGGTGAAATGGATGCTGGGGGCCCCAAGCAATCCAGTCTGAAGCTGAACTATTCACAGCTATCTGTTTTTTTTTTTTTTTCCTTAAGTCACTCTCAGACTGTCTGTGCCTCCCACAGGGTTGGGGAGAGGAGGGGTAGCAAAGCTGGGTTGAGGAGGACTTTGCTGACTACCCTGGTTTTTTGATCTGAGGGCCGGCTTTGGGAGCTGTGGCAAAGTCCAAAGGAACTCGACCAGGGTTGACAGTCTGAGCACCTAACTGGCCTGTTCAAGCTAGTCTTCCCTGAATTTTAGGAAAAACACATGCACACACACTTGATCAGGAACTTGTTTCTGTCTCCCAGGGTACAGTATAAATACTCATGTGTCTCATGACCTTTTAAAAGGAGCCTTAGCTCTCCTTTTGCTGAGAACCTGCCTCAAGATGTTCTTTACTATTTATCTGTTGAGTGGGAGAGTAGAGTGTGTCTGTTTGAGTCCTGATGGATTTGGGGATGATGCCCTCATTCCAGTAGATGCTAGAACAAGATCAGGGGTCTGACTTCTGCTGAATCTTATACATACGTGCTCAGTAATTAAATGGTGAATGAGTGTGTTAGCTATTCAGTAAATATCTTTCTGAGTAAAGATATTAACTAAAGGCTATAGGGCAGTGTTCTCAACTTGATTATACATTACAAGCACCTAGGGAACTTTAGCAGTATCTCACTGTCCAGGCTACACCCCATTCCTATTGAGTTGGATCTCTGGGGGTGAGACCCAGGCATCAGTATTTTAAAAATTCTCTGGGGGATTCTAATATATAGCCATGTAGGAAATCAGTCTTTCTGAGCTTGGGCTGTCATAACAAAATACCACAGAGTGGGTGGCTTATACAACAGAAACTAATTTTCTCACAGTGTTGTAAGTGCTAGAGCTGGGTTCCAACTGATTGAGTTTCTTGTGAGGGCTAGCTTACCAGTTTGCAGAAGGCCACCTTCTCCTTGTGTCCTTGCATGGTAGAGAGAGAGAACTCTGCTATTTATTTTTCTTCTTATAAGGGCCTTAACCTAACTGTGAACTTCTAGATGTTCAAGCTGAATTTAGAAAAGGCAGAGGAACCAGAGATCAAATTGCCAACATTCGTTGGATCATCGAAAAGGCAAGAGCATTCCAGAAAAACATCTACTTCTGCTTTATTGACTATGCCATAGTGTTTGACTGTGTGGATCACAATAAACTGTGGAAAATTCTTCAAGAGATGGGAATACCAGACCACCTGACCTGCCTCTTGAGAAATCTGTATGCAGGTCAGGAAGCAACAGTTAGAACTGGACATTGAACAGCAGAGTGGTTCCAAATTGGGAAAGAAGTACGTCAAGACTGTATATTGTCATCCTGTTTGTTTAACTTCTATCCAGAGTACATCATGAGAAATGCTGGACTGGAGGAAGCACAAGCTAGAATCAAGATTGCCGGGAGAAATATCAGTAACCTCAGATATGCAGATGACGCCACCCTTATGGCAGAAAGCGAAGAAGGACTAAAGAGCCTCTTGATGAAGGTGAAAGAGGAGAGTGAAAAAGTTGGCTTAAAGCTCAACATTCAGAACACTAAGATCATGGCATCTGGTCCCATCATTTCATGGCAAATAGATGGGGAAATAGTGAGAGACTTTATTTTGGGGGGCTCCAGAATTACTGCAGATGGTGACTGCAGCCATGAAATTAAAAGACGCATACTCCTTGGAAAAAAAGTTATGACCAACCTAGACAGCATATTAAAAAGCAGAGATATTACTTTGCCAACAAAGGTCCATCTAGTCAAAACTGTGGTTTTTCTAGTAGTCATGTATGGATGTGAGAGTTGGACTATAAAGAAAGCCAAGCACCCAAGAATTGATGCTTTTCCAATCAGTCCATCCTAAAGGAAATCAGTCCTGAATATTCATTGGAAGGACTGATGCTGAAGCTGAAACTCCAATACCTCGGCCACCTGATGTGAAGAATTGACTCGTCAGAAAAGACCCTGATGCTGGGAAAGATTGAACGCAGGAGAAGGGGGTGACAAAGGATGAGATGGTTGGATGGCATCACCAATTCAATGGATATGAGCTTGGGCAAACTCTGGGAGATGGTGAGGGACAGGAAAGCCTGGTGTGCTGAAGTCCATGGCATCATGAAGAGTTGGACATAACTTGGCAACCGAACAACAACAAAGGGTCTATGAAGTGGAGAGTAGCGGAAACTAAGGCTGGGGTTGCCTCAAAGGCCAAGCTGGGAAGTTTGGACTTACTTGGGCAGGCAGTGGAGAGCCATGCAAAGGTCTTGAGGCTGGTCGTGGTCTGATTAGAGCACTGCTTTGGGGAGATGAGACCTTGGTGGTGGGATCCTGCAACTCAGAATGTCACCTTCTCTTCCAGGTGCTGCTCCCAGCCGCCAGCTTGCTACAGCTCATGGATGTTCGTCAGAACTGCTGTGACTTCCTGCAGTCACAGTTGCATCCCACCAATTGCCTGGGCATCCGCGCCTTTGCAGATGTGCATACCTGCACCGACCTGCTGCAGCAGGCCAATGCTTACGCAGGTAATGGGAAACAATGTAGCTGCACCTTTCCACCTTTCCAAGCCTGTGAATTTAATAACCTGGTCTGTGGTGGACTCCTCAAAGATTATGAGGCTAGTGTGTTCTACTGAGAAGCAGTTATGACTTAGTCAAGGAGATAAGACACAGGTGGAAAGATAATTAACAATAGAGGAGTTCAGCTCAGTGCCAAGTGGAATATGACTAATTGCCAGATGAAAAGTTCAGACAGTAATTTTCATGAGAGAAGAGGAAGGAGATATGAGAAGACTTCATGGGGGAAGAATAATTTGAACTAGGTCTTGAAATAATCTTTGTTTAGGAAAATTTCTATTTTGATCAAAGTGTTCTGTGAACACCATTTGAAAAGTCAAATACTGTTGCAAGTCTCATAATGATAAGAGTCTCCTGCTGTTTTTCCACACCAAGTGTTGCTCTCTAGAGCCACTCAGTTGCCTGTCTGAAAGAATTAAAATACAGGTGCTGATTCAGCCAAAAGTTGCTTCATCTGATATTTACCTCTCTTTCTGTAAATAAAATGTTATGCGACTGGTTTCGGGTTTATTAGTTTTAGATGTTGTCTGTTGACTTCTCACAGAAGAATAACTGCGCTTTCATAGATATCCCCTCATATACAGTCACTGTTCCCCTCTTTATTCTTCTAATATCATTTCTACAGCTGAGCTAAGTTATAATTGGTTTTTTATCACAAAAAAACTTTTGTTGTAGTCAGTAAGGCAGTGAATAGATGCTTTTTATTTTACACAGTATTATGATCACTAACTCTTACAAGGGAGGTACACTGAACAGTCTTCTCAATACATCAGATAATCTGTTGAGTCCATTTTATTTTTCTTGGAGACATTCTCCTCACTAGAGCTTGTCATCCTGTGATTTTTATAGGGAGTAGTGATTTGAGGATGAAGGTCATGAGTGACCTAGGAAACAGGTCTGGCCATATGAATTGATAGATCTAGTCATGGCCACCTCCTTCCCTTGCAGTAAAACCTCTCATTCTTCCCCTGCCTAAATGCTGGCAAGGCTTCTGTCTGTTCTGTCTCCTATCCAGGAAGCCAGTGTCTGGGAGTTAACTGAGGGCCTGCTAGCTGCTCACATGCCAGCTCCCTGCACTGTGTTAGCCCCTTGATCCACAATCAACAAGCATTTCTTCTGTTTTTCAGCATCCTCTTTTTGCTCTGATCAAGACCCCAGGAGCCTACACAGACTCTCACTTCTTAAGGTCTGTTTCTGAGGACACAAATGGGACCAGACATTAGGATGTCAATGATGATGATTTTTGTGAAGGACATTCCCCAGTCTGCCTAATTCTGAATTCCTCTGACTCTTTCTGACCCTAATCCTTGAGTCTCCTGTTTCTCTGCTGTCCCTCCTGTGCCTGTATTACCTGGCATAATACCCTACCTCGTTTTTGTTCTCAGGGAGTGGTCACTAGTCCAGCCTTCTCTAGTCTAGCCTCTTTCTTGAGGGATGTACACAGACTTTGCTTCAGCAGAAGCTGCAGGCTTAACTAAGGCCAAGATCAGCATGTGGACATCTGCTGGTGCAGAGGTGAAGGGAGAATGCTTAGATGCCAGGAGGTCTCTGTCTCCCCTCCCCAGTCCTCTCTATAGAGTGTGCATGCTTGCATCCGTACGCAGCACGTATCATACCCTTTTGTAGTTGGCTCATGAGGTCATCAGAGGTCTGGGCTGTGTATTGACCTTCCACGTTTAACAAAGGCTTCTAGGTCTTGTGGCCTGGCTTTCCTCCACTTTGAGAATCTCTGTTTTCTCCCTTGCCCTTCTCCTCTCTGATGGTGAGACTCACCTGTGGGAGAGTTGGGAGCACCTTGCAGTTTTGGTGCTCCCTGATCCTGATGTGGGCACGGTGATGTGGTTCCACAGCGTTTGGGCGTGTGCTCCACATGTGTGTGCAGTGTCATGGTGGATGGCTCTCAGCTAGTGTTTACTGAGCTCTCACTTTGGGTCACATCCTAGACTAAGCATTTTATATTCATTTAAAGCATACAGTAGCTGAGGAAAGTAAAGCGCAGAGGGGTGAAGTCATTTGTTGGGGTTAGTTAGAAGAGACAGAGACAGGATTCAAACCCAGACAGTGTTTACTCCAGAGCTATGTTTATAACTACTCTGTTCTGTGGCTTCCAGGCCCAGCTTGGACATAGGGTGGCCCTGTGAATAAGAAACTGTGGAGTGTTGGTGGCTAGAGCTGGCATGTTCCATCGGAAGTGTGAACCTCAAAGTCTGTGCCATGCAGTTACCAGATTCCAACCAGACGTTGTAGACAGATGGCCAGCTGTCTCTGCTAGATGCAGGGTGTTCAGTCATCTTGGGGTGGGTAAGTGAGGCTTGGATGTCTTCTCTTCCCTGTTGGGAGGCTGCCCCTCATGGCATGCGTGAGCCCTCCTCCTTCTCTGGCTCGGTCAGTGTGACTGCAGGCTGAGAGCCTCCTCCCTGTTGTGCAGGCCTTCTGGGGAACCTGGGACCAGCTCTGGGATAGCTTTCTTTGTAGCCCTCAGCTGTGTGCAACCGAGAAGATAAAAATCATATTTTTAAGGTGGTGTGATAATACAGAGGTTGTTAGACTATGATGAAGAGACAGTAGAAGAAGCAGTGTTAAGACTTCACCCTGTGTGGTATATAGAGAAGTAAAAAATGGTTAATCTGCGCTTATTCTATTGCACTCAGCCACTGCTGTGGGCCTGCTTTGTGTCTTTGGTCTTGCACCCTCCGAATTTAGATGGAGCCTGGCGGCTCTGCTATTGCTGCCTCCTGGGACAGAGCTGCTGTCTTGCCCATTTAAGTGTGGACGTGTGGGTACTGATCAGAATCACATACACAGGGGGCAGTGTCGGCCCCGTTGGACACAGGCTTCCATGGCCCCATGCCTCAAGTTAGGAGGTATCTGAGCCCACGGACTACAAGGAGACCCTCCAGATCAGAACCAGGGATCACATCAGCCAACACTTTGGAGCTGAGTGACCCTAAGCCTGTTTTCTTCTCTCTCTGATGGGAGGTTGCTCCTCCTGCTTTGTTTTCAGGATGGTTTAGGGGATTGGGGTCAGTGTGGGAGGGACAGGTAGGAGTGCCTCCTGAAGAAGTAGGTGCCATCATAGGGCCGTGCCCTGGATCTTCCCTGCTGTTCATGCCGTCTGTGGCAAGAGAGCCTCAGAGCCCCACGGGACCTGGTGGAGAGACGGAACTCCTTGGGTCAACACCACGATCCCTGCTGCAGACTGCGTGCAATTTGCGGGAGAAGGACCGTTTCTGGAGCTTCTGATGGTAGCTCCTCTGTATACATACACACAGATGGGTATGTGTGCCTTCCCCTCCTTCCCTGTCTCTGGCCAGCTGGCCTCTGCCTTCACCTGTCCACAACCCCAAACTGCCTTTGAATTCTGTTCATTCTCCTTCTCTAAGATGAACTTTCTGTTCTTATTATTGTTGCTATCTTAATACACAACCATCTGTGATTATTGCAGGAAAGGCCCCACAATCCTACCCGGAGGGCGTCACAGGCAGCACGCTAATATACAGCTTCCCCCGTCTCTCATTCCACATATATATTTTCCAGCCAAAAAAATCTTAGCAGTATATTCTGAACATCTTTCCATGTTAGCAGACATATTTCTATACTATTATTTTTAAAACTTTAGTGAATGTATTCAATAAGAGCAACTTGTATCCATTATAAAAATTTCAAACAAGACCAAAGGTATGAAATACACAGTTGATCTCTCAGGTCCTCTTAAGGAAGCAGGGGACCCTCTTGGATATCCCTACAAGATATGTATATATTACACATTTTAACTTACACAAATAGAAGACTTTTGTACTGGTTATACTTTTTTTTTTAACTTAGTGCAATATCTTGAAGTTCTTTCCAGACTCTTGTGTATGGCTATTCTTACTCTTTTTGTCTGCTGTATCATAGGGATGAACTATAATGAACTATAATTTAGTTAACCAGTCCTCTCTTAATGAACGGTAATGTTACCAGTTTTTTTTTTCCTTTCCCTTTACATCAAATGCTTCAACAGGAATTCTTGTACGTAACGTTTTGGAGTATACTTGCTGGTATGTAAGTAACCATGAAATTGTGCTTGTAGGGTGCCATCTTAGTGTATAGCACAAAGTAGCTCGTAGAGAGTATGCATTAAAAGATACTGCCGAATTGCTGCCTAGAAAGACTAACCTATTTTTAAGGTTGACGAATGCCTTCTGATAAGTCTTCAGCCCCCTGGCAAAGGGCACAGCGTGATTCTGGGGGCTGGACCACCAGCTCTTTCCACCTAGCTGCCTGGTTGATTTCCTGTTTGCAGTGGGCCTGTCTCTTCTTCCTGTGGCAGTCCCTTCTGCTTCCTCTGGGTCCAGTTTCCCCCTTAGGGTTATGCCCCCACATTTTTGCTGTGATATGTGTTATGCTGGGCTGGGGAAGGGTGAGTTCCATAGTTCAAAGCTGACTGGGCTGGGGAAGCCCCTTGCCTCCAGCTGCTGGTGTCATAGTTCTCCTGAGTACTGGGTAACTGGGAAAAGGACCCTCATATTTTGCATAGCCTGTTTCTTATATCTCACTGTTATTGTTTCCAGGGACTGCTTAATCTTTAACTTCAGAGGCATGGGCCCAGGTTTATGGGGATTTTGTTGTTTGGTAATTGGATGACCATGCCTGGGCCATCAGCAGAGCTAGTTGGGAGGGATGTTAATGGGACTCTATTAATGAAATGGCAATTAAAATTCTTTGAACAATGTGTTTACATCAGCCTGCCAAAGCTGAGCTGAAACCACCCAGCCATGGGATGGAAAAACCATTGAATTTCACATGTTTGTGGAGAGAAATGGCCTTTTTTCGATTGATTGAGTCATTTAAGACCATGGAATGAAGTAATTAAACTAAGGACAGCAAAAAACTTTGACAAAGCATTTGAAAAAACACAACCCTCTGACTTAGTGAGGGTTATCTGGTGAAATTGCTGCCTCCAGCTT